GTTATGGTTAGGACTAGAGTTAGTGTTAGGAGCAGGTGTTGAACTAGGACTAGAAATAAGGCTTGGTCTAGTTTTTACTGATACAGTTAGGTTTATTTATTTATTTATTTTTCTTTAAATCTGTCTTTCCAGCAGAAGTTTCCCACCTCAGAAGATTCTGAATGGGGTTCAGGATTCCACCTATGGTCTTATGTAATGCAGAGGCTCCACAGGAAGCCTCCTTCACTGGGCACATTGTAGCCCCACTTTAGGTATTCCAATCACTTGTATGCAGAAGATGGACTTAAAAGCTGTCTATGGTGATATTTCTGGCTATTCTTTCTCTCCCTCTCAAGTGTCTATTTTATAATGGTATGCCAGTGAAACCAAGATTCAAAAGACAGCCAAGCTTCTGTCTTTTGAATCTTGGTTTTCCTTGCATTATATTATAAAATAGACACTGGAGGGGGAGTGAAAGGAATAGCCAGAAATATCACCATAGAAAGCTTGTAAGTCTGTCTTCTGCCTATAACTGATTGGAATACCTAAAGTGGGGCTACAACGTGCCCAGTGAAGGAGGCTTCCTGTGGAGCCTCTGCATTACATAAGACTATAGGTGGAAGCCTGAACCACATCCAGATCTTCAGAGATGGGAAATTTCCACTTGAAAGGATGAGCAGACCAGCCTGGAGTGGCTAGAAGAACAGAAGATACTTCTTGAAAGAAAAGACCAACAGGAAAAATACAAAACAATATAGGCAGCCTGTTACTATAAGAACAAGCAAGTTGCTTGCCCAGGAGACATTAAGGTAAGTGGTCGGGTCCCCTCAGTGCAAACCCCCTTCCAAGACTAAGACACAATGGGAATATGCATTCTGATTGGTGACCATGTTTGTCACCGATAAGGGGAAAAACAGCAATGAAGCTGCGAGCTAAGCCCTACAACGTTCAATAGACTCTTGTGAACCCGGGTGGAGACCTGGTTGGCCAGCAGTGTGGCTAGACCTGGGGACTTTTGGGTCCAGAGTCAGTGACATAGCCACAGAGGACTAGAATGGAGAATGAAGTGTCCAGCTGATAAGAAGAGAGGGCATATGCCCAAGAACACCCACTCTTGCAGATAATACCCACTTGACCTGGCTTCAATGACTAGATGATCAGAGCTCAACCAGAAGAAGAGGGGGAAAAGAGAGTAGTCTGATACAATTTGATGAACTTGACCGACACCTATGGATGCAGTAGCTCAAAAGAGGAAACAAATCTTTACAGCAAGGATCATTCCCACCCCCTCCCTACAAAGTAGACAGGGATGGGCCATTTGGACATTGGCTACCCAAAATGGTGGTGGTGGTAGGGGCCTACAAAGGCAAGAAGTGACTGGCTTACAAGCTTTCAAGAGTGAACCTAGATCCAGAGGGCATGAAGGTAGAATCTCCACTGAGTAGTATCCATTCTGTCTAGGTGGGGCTGATGAAATGAAATGCGGATAGGTCTCTTGTGATACAATAGTGAATAGTTGTTATCAGGACTGATTGTGAGGGTTGGAAATGTAAAGGCAGATGCTTTGTAACAAGGAGGGGAGTGATTAACTTTGCAGTCTAGGAGCAGAGGTCCCTGGAACCATCAAGTGAGAAGAGCAGAGCGTGGGACCCTACCCAGAGAAGCAGTGATGCCTGAGATGGAGGCAGAGACGATGATGTGGAGAGATGGAGCAGTTGGGGACTTTAGACACAGAGAGGGAGAGGGGCTGTGTGCTGACGACAGGGGGGCAGGCTTGTAGTGTATACCCTTTGGTTGGTTGATGATGCATGGAGAGGATTCTAACCATTGCAATGAAACGATATACGATAGGATGAACTAATGTTCTCCCATGTAAACTATCACATAATTCAGAATTAAAAAACAAAAACAAAACAAAAAAGACAGCCAAGCTTGATGCACTGTTTTGTCATGTAAGCAGAAATTGTTTTCTTGGAGACATTATGGTGTCATATTTATATTTGATGATTGTATATTGGCAATCACCCCTGTCTCCTGGTGGATGTGGTAGAGGCTGGAAGTATGAATTCGGTTTTCTTTTCACTATATAGCATAGTTAAGGGTGAGTTCATACAACTCCAGAAGTAGGGGCAGTGTCCCATGCCCAACACAAAGCAGAGCAGAGGCAGGGATGGTCCACTGACTGCTGGGTTGGCGAGGGTGGGAATTGCCCATGCCTCCAGCTACCACGGGAAGGCACAGATTAAGGTAGAACTGCACCCTCTTCCACCAACTTCCAGCTGTAACGTGTGCCTGCATACCACTGTATCTGTTACTAAGTTCCAACTCAGTGACCCCATATATGGTTTCTGAAGAATGGCTGGTAAGCTTGAACCACCGACCTTGCTGTCCAGCACAGTAATGCACAGTGCTACACCAGGACTCTGCTGTATCTTGGCATGTTGTTACATGCCATCGAGTTGGTTCTGACCCATAGCAACCCTGTATCGGGTTTCCAAGGTACGGTTGGTGAGTTTGAACCACCAACCTTGTGGTTCAAACTGACTTTGCAGTCCAGCACATTAACTATGTTAAGTGCCATTGAGTCAGTACCAACTCATAGTGACCCTATGCACAACAGAAGGAAACACTGCCCGGTCCTGGGTCAACCTCACAATTGTTGCCATGCATGGCAGCCTGCAAAATTTCAAATGGCTACACCATTCCATGCCAACCTACAGTCCACCCATTTTCCTTCTGCTGCTTCTTCCAGTGAATGCTTATCTCTCTGCAGTACCCTCTGAAGCTCAGGGTTGCAAGACTGTTTCAGTCAGCCTCCCATGTCTTTGTTGCCAAGGCTCAGTTCTGTGCAACTGCCTACTATTCCCCCATCTTGCCCTGGAAGTATAGCAGCACTTTTGACTTACCCTCTTAATCCTTATTCACAATTGCTAATGAGCTTATAAGTCATTGTATTTTCTGAATCTCTCTTCACCTACAAATTAAGGGTCATGGTGTAATGATCAAATTAGATTGATTTTCCAAAGTAAGACTGAGACTATGCTTCATGATGTGTGCCAAGTCAGTTCTGAACCATGGCGACCCTGTATGGAGTTTCAGAGAGCAGCTGATGGATTTGAACTCCCAACCTTGTGGTTACTAGTCCAGCTTAAGAATTTCCATTGTCTGCTTCTTTAGAGTCCTGGTGTGATGCTGTGGAATCAAGCACTTATCTGCAAGTTTGGTTTGAACCACAAAGTTGACAGTTCAAAGTCACCAGCTAGCTGCTTTGGAAACCCTATACAGGGTCACTGAGTTAGAACTGACTTTATAGCACTTAACACTGCTTGTTTGGAGTCCTTGTGTGGTATACTGCAGGTTAATGTGCACATTTGGTTTGAACTGCAAGGTTGGACTCCTGGTGTGATACTGTAGGATCAGCACTAGACTGAGAAGCTCTAAGTCAGTGATTCATACCCACCAGCCGTTCCTCAGCACTAACTTTAAGACTGCACAACTGGAATTACTTAATGAGGGTGCCCTCTAGTGGACCACAGAAAATAACCACCAAAAGGTGCTTTCAAAGCTTTACATTATTTCCATTCAGCACTGAAAGAACTGCAGAGACCTGGCACCTTAGGAGATCAAAGGATAAGGATAAACTTTCAATGAGTTCACTATACGGCTCTAGTCAAATCCAAACTTGGGACTCAAGATACCCACTTTTCTGTTCTCTCTCGTCTCAAGAGGCTGGAAATGGTATCATAGCTTCTAGAAACAGAGTCCTGGAATGGTGCTATAGGATAAGCACTGGCCTGCTAACCGCAAGGTCAGCAATTCAAACCCACAAGCCACTTCTTGAAAACCCTATGCAGGGACACTATGAATAGGAAGTGAAACTCATCAAAACAAGTGATACAAGCTGGAATAGAAAAGAAAAATAATATATAGAAAGTTGTCAATATATATTGAGTAATATTATAAGAAATATGCCACTTAATGAAATAGAGCCAATCTGTATTTCAAATCTGTCAAACACAGTGTTCAAAAGTTACTGTCATTGACACTGTCATAGGGCTAAATTTTATTAGGTGACCCAAGTAAAATTAAGAATGTCAGAAGGGATTTCTATCGCTAAGTTTCCTTCTATTATACTCAGATTCCAGTTATTATACAGAATACAAGAACAGAAATCAATGGTGTTAACACCACCTTTGTGATAGAAAAACCTATGAATGAATTAAAAAGTTAATGTATTATACTACCTAATTATAGGAAGAAAGAGCTTATCTTTTTTCATCTCCATTTTTGTTTTCTTCATGTTTACCAGAGCACCCAAAAGTAGATGGACCCAGAACATTCATGGATACTAATAATTCAGATTTTTACAACTCACCCTTCAAAGGGAAGAGAGATACTAAGGCAGCAGTCACTGGAAAGAACAATCAATGGGAAATAAGATTTGAACCAAACAAACTGGTTGGTTAATTTTATTCTCTCCTTCCCTGTTGGATTAACTTTACCAACTGTGTTCTTCAAGTACAACTGGAAGGTTGCACTTACACTTTAGAGGTGGAAATAGAAGGCAAAGACAATCTTGGGGTCAAAGATGTCATGTTTCTCATAGGGGCAATTTCATGGGGTAATATGCATTTTGAAGAATGGTGAATGAAAGACAATTTCATGGGATATTATGCATTTTGAAGAATGGTGAATGAAAGACAAAGGATCCTCCAGGTTATTCCCAGACAAAAGTCCATTTAGCTAGAATGCTGCACACTTTGAAAGAACTGAAACTACTCCCTGCTGCTGGGATTCACCTACATCAAAGGGGTCAGAGACACTGTTCTCCTCCACCATGCCTGTTTTACAAGAAGGAAGGTGTGTGACTGGAGGCAACTCCACAGCTGTTGACGTAGATCAAGTGATGAGTTTTTCTCAGCTCTTCACTGAGCTGCACACAAGAACCATGAATCTTTTTCTTTATTTTTAAGAATGGCTCCAGCCAGGTACATTCAGTCCTGTCCTTTAGATGCCTCCCCTTATCCTTCCTGTTCTAACAGCCTCTGGCGTGTTTCCATCACAATTTCTTCCATTATCTTTGGCTTTAAGATATCTTTGATCTGAAAAAGACAGAAAGGGACATTTGTCCAAAAAAGAAAGTATATCACCAAGCCAATCCAAACAAAGAAACCAAACAGGGTTAATATAAACCTTCGATATTAATTTATCAGAGGCTGCTACAAGACATGATCCACTAGATTTGGCTGAATAAATCAGCAAGATTCTGTGGGATATACGACAAGAATAAAGATACTGTTCTGACACTCATTAAATTTGGAATAAGCAAGATGAAGTTGAAAGTGTTGCTCATCCTATCTGATGTGTCAATCTTCCTAAATCCTTACACTGATACTGTTGATGCTATGTGCTATCAAGTAGATTCTGAACCATAGTGACCTTGTATGACAGAGTAAAAGTGCCCCTAGGACTCCTAAGCTGTAGGTCTTCTCTACTGTGGAGTAGCTGCTGATTTTGAAGCAGACCGTTTGGTTAGCAGCCAAGTGCTTCACAATGACCCTACTAGACATTGAGAATATTACAAGTATCTACGGGAAAATCTACCACTCATTCAGACTGTCCCTCAGACCAAATTAAATTGATGAGCATGGTAAAAGTATTTGGGAGACATGCTTACTGTCACTGTGGAAACATGGAGCTAATGAGTGAACACCTAAAAGCTGCTCACAGAATAGCAAAGACTAGGGAAGGCGTGGTGGACTACCTGATGTGGGAGGGACACTTCATAGCAGTACAGGATACTGGTATCATACAGCATCATCTTCTGATTTACCATCAACACTATGCAGTTCCGAAGCCGTGATATCACCTCTCGATCAGCAAGTGAGACAGGCTACAAAAGTGGACGTAAAGTGTACCAGGAAGCCGAGAAATAAAAGCAGGAGCAAAGTAAGTCGGTGGTTATAGTACATCACAAAAGAAATCACTTATGACTCAGACAGTATCACTCTGGGACTCTAAACCAAACAGCTAACTTCAAGGAAGATTTAAAAGGATTGTTTCTTCCATACTTTTCGGTTTTTACCATGTGTTCAATTTTGCCATCTCTGCAAATTTCAACTCTTCCAAAAAGAGAAGCAATACAGTATTCATGAACACACCTTGGTGAAAATTCAATCTAACTCAGACCACAGTAGTAATATAGTTTAATAACACACTGAAGATCAAGTGCCATTCCATCCCATCAACACTAGCAGTGGGGTTTCCTCACCTCCATGTTTGCAATGAAGCCCCCTGCCTCCTCATCTTTGTGCTCAGGTGTTGGGTAGATCCAAATGAAGCCATTGTTACCCAGAATAACTGAGGCACCACATGGCAAGTCATGGAAGTGAGTCTTCTGCCGTTTTACCAGGGAGGGAGAAACCTGGACCAAAACACCCTGGCCTAGCTAAGAGAGAAAAACACGTTGTAAGTCATTGTAGGATGACCATGATTTGAATGGGAAGTAGGTGACACAGTAAGCATTTTTACAAAGAAAACTTGTTTATACATTCCAACAGAAGGTAATTTTTAATACTCTTCTCTGTCATTTTCCTTTTCAAATCATTACACTCGAATCCAGGACTGGTGAGTTGGCTTTTAGACGTTGGTGTTAATAAGGATATGGGTTCAACCTTCTTGTAGGCCAAGGAGCACTATTATGATCCATGACCCTGGATCATACATGTGAGATGTCTGCCACTAGCCTAGGAAGGGCAGCACACTCAGGGCAGCCATCTGTCTCTCGTTACAAGGACTTGAAAGTGGTTGGCTGTAGCCACTGGAGTTCAACCAAGAAAATGAAGTTTCACCTTCATTTTAGGAGATTTGCTGTCTTACAATATAAATACCCTCACTAACATAACCTCATATAAGAAAAAGTGAGATTTCTTTTGGGTACTCCAGTGACACATTAATCTTGCTTAGAAATATTATCTATTTTTTTTTTATTAGATGTTCCAAGTGCTGAGATTGCCCTGTTTCGTCATCCTTTATAGTGTTACTGACCCACGGCCATGTGAATCCTGACCTTCCTTGAAATCCTGGGAACACTGATAATAGTGGGATGCCAGCCTTGAATGTTTAACCTGAGGCTCTTTGGGTCAGAATTCCATAAGAGTGTTAAGACATTCAGAAATGGACTTGAAGTCTTGGTCAACAAACAAGAACAAGAGTCCAACTTACTTTTCCATACTTTAGACTCCTTGTGTGAAGAGAAACAGCTCCATCAGAGAACACTGCCTGGACCTCAGCCTGGCCAGGGTGGTGAAGGAAAAATAGCAGCTTCAGTTGCTCACATTCATGTGACCTACCTCTCCCACATCCCTGGCTCCAATGTCTCTATCATTTCATTTCCAACAGTCCCACTGAGCAGTCTTAAAGTCCAGAGGACACTACTGTGACTTGACCTCTTCCTTTCTGGTTGTCAATCCTTTCTTAATTTTTTTTTTTTTAAATCTCAAAAAGCTAAACCATCATTTAGAAAACTTGAGTTTAGCCTATGCCTGGGTCTGAACAAGAACTGGAGGTCAGTCTGAAGGAAGGAGATAAAGAAAGGCTGTGGCAGAGTCTGTGACACTTCATCTGGGCCTCAGACACTTGTCAGGGCCACATGCTTCTCTTGTCAGACAGACAATTTCAGCCCCATTTCCCAGCTCCATTTTAAAGCAGGAAGCTGTTAAAATACAAGGTATAGGATACACTGATAAGGTCCCCCTCCTGCAAGAAGCCTCTCATTGCAAGTTCATCTTCTGCAGATCTTCTCCTCTGAAACATACAAAGAAATGATCACGTTACTTAAGCTAGATTCTCGCTATCTCGTCTTTTTCACTTCCTCTTGACATCTATGAAGCCAACCACAATATTCAAAGACTGCAAACTATGGCAAGTATAGCACGTGCCACTCAAAGGAAACGAGTGATTACCACTACTTTCCAGTATAGACTTTTCAATTTGTCTCCTTCCTCTGAATAACATTCAAATGCCTTACCTGATATGATACTCAAAACCCTCCCAATCTAAGCCAGCCTACCTTGCTACACTAACCTTCTACTGACAGCTCTCCATGCTCCAACAGGACCAGACTATTTGCCACTCAAACATTTCCCTTTAACTCAGAATCCCTTAACTCAGCATTAAAATTCTATCCATCCTTCAAAGATCAACTCCATGACCTCCTAATAAAATGAATTCATCCTTTTGTACAACTACACAATTGTTTATTCTTCCACTGTCAGCTATTTTCTGAATTCATGATCTCATGCCCCCTACTAGTCTAAGTCCTTTACAGAATCAATCATCTCTCCTTTGTCTTGGTATTCTTCATAGAACCTAACACACTAAGCCTCTGTAATACACAGTGGACTGAAGATAAAGGTGACTCACGGTGTCACAGACAGAACTGTGTCCCTCCGAATGTGTCAACTTGGCTGGGATATGATTCTCAGTGGTTTGACAGCTATGTAGTGATATACTGTGGCAGTTATGTATGTGATTATTCCCCCATATGTGATCTGATATGAAACCAGTAAGAGGATTAGGGATAGACTGCAATTTCCTGGTGTGGCACTGTAGGAGCAATAAGGACCATGAGCCACAAGGTCGGCAATTCAAACCAACCAGCTGCTCCTCAGAAACCCTATACAGGGTCACAATGAGTCGGAATTGACTCGACAGACGGCACTTAACAGCAGCAACTACTACCACCACGGAGAAGTCCGGGTGTGGCGCTATAGAATATGCACTAGACTATTAACCATGAGGTTGGTGGTTCAAACCCACTAGCTGCTCCTTGGAAACCCTATACAAGGTTGTAATGAGTTGAAACCAACTCAACAGCACTTCACAACAGCAACTACCACCACCACCACCACGAAACAAGAGCTCTGAGTGGAGTGTGTCCTATAAAATTCCTAGATCAAGGGAAAGACTGATGCCAAGACACATGGAGATCACCAAGGAATTCAGGGCCTATGTATGCTGAAAGGAGGCAAGGACCTTTCTCTAGAGCTGGAGCGCTAAACTGCAATTTCTAACCTCCTACACAGGGAAAGAGTAACTTCGATTAAAGCTACCCACTTGTGGTATTCGTTATAGCAGTACTAGATAACTAAGACTCTTGGTAGTTTTCAAAAGACTGAAGTTTAGTTACTACAGGTGTCTGGAATAATTGAGTGCCACTCAATTCACATACACATAAAATTTTGTCTAAGCCAGAAAAAAAAACTGTTAGAACCAAGTATCAAAGAGGGTCCAACTTCCTTTTGGCATCCCACCCTACAGACATTCCTGAAATCACCATACCAGTGGCCGCCTATGCTGAGAACTGGGCCAGGATAAAGACCTATATTTACATCTGGCAGCAAATGTCACATTAGCAAATAGGAGTACTGATGTAGCCTCAGTGAAAAGCAGAGTTATCTGACGGAGCAGAGGGCCTCACAGTGCACCCGAGCAGGCTGTACAGTACCAGGGCCTTCCTGGAAACCCTTACCAGCTCTCCTCCAGGAAGATTCATGGATGAAAGAAGCAAGACTGAATCCAGCCTGGAGTTGGTCTCCACCTTCCACCTCTTTTGCTGAACCTACAAAAAAAAGAAATTCCACATCTGGACACGTATTCCAGAAGCAAGTGCTCATATCTTAGGTGACTGATAATTCCAAATAAAACAAGCCAAGTGTTTATAACCAAAGTCACACAACAGCTAAATGGAATGACTGCCTCATTAATATAACCATATACAAAATCACTACTCTATTCATTAAATTACCAGCTGCCCTGGTGGTGCTGTGGATTAGACACTGGGCTGCTAACCAGAAGGTTGGTGGTTCAAACCCACAAAGTCACTCTACAAGAAAAAAGGATGCCTACTCCCATAAAGATACATTGTCTCATAAAAACTTTATAGGGTTGCTATGAGTCAACATCAACTCAATGGCAGCGGAATTTTGGGTTGCCATTACTTTAAGGAGCTCTGGTAGCGTAGTGGTTACGAATCGGGCTGTGAACCTCAAGGTCAGCAGTTCGAAACTACTAGCAGTTCCACAGGAGAAAGATGAGGTGGTCTGCTCCTCGGAAACCCTGTGTAGGGTCGCTATGAGTTGGAACTAACTCCACGGCACATAACAACAACAACAACAACAACAACAACATTACTTTAAAAAAATCAATCTGAGTAAAAGAACAAACAAGATGGCGGATCGGTGGACGTATAGCAGAGAGCTCCGCCAACAACAACATAGAATACCCGACCAAGCAGGCCCAGGGGCTGGTCCCAGAACTCTGAACCACATATAAAGGAATACTTAGAAGTTTGGAAGGCTCACAGCTGGGGGAATTTGTGGCAGACGCATGAAATCTATTGCTTTCTAGTCCGGGACGCTCGGCTGCTCCAGGAGCCGCCATCTTGGGTGAGACCATGTGGGGGAAAGATCAGAGTAGCCACAGACGCCTGGCAGAACCGCTGAGATAAAGGTGTGGACATTCTTATCTTTTGGTAGCTGTTCATTGGTCCCTTGCTGTCTGGGCACCTC